TTCTGCTTCCCACTAACATTCACACAGTGGGGGGTTCCCTCTATAGAAAAAGGGAGTTCAGATGATGATAGGAAAGAAAGTGACAAAAGTCTATCACAGTCTGATCATCTGAATTATCTGATTTCTTAATTATTAATCTAGAAATGTAAAATGTTGTTATGCAGACCCATATGCCTATAGTTATTAAAAACATAAACAAGTGACTTAAGTTTTTGAGTAGGAACTTTAAATAATTTTTTAAGTTGTGCTCTATAGAACATTAATCTTCCCTGCCTCTCTTCCTTTCTTATTTCCTTCCTTCATTCTTTTCCTCATTTTTTTCCTTTCTTTTACAAGAAAAAATTGACTTCAGCTTCCTAAGAATTTATAAGAATTGGAGAAAAAATAAAGAAAATAGGTATTTCTATAATTTTATGAAAGTGTATCTTACCCTGTATTTCGAGTTGAAGGGTTTTTAACTTCTATTCCACTTTTAGCAATGAAAACATATTTTAACATCCATAGCCAGAAATAAGTTATTTTTATTTTAAAACCTGCTAAATAATATGCTTTCCTAGGGATTCATTCCCATTTTGTAGATTTTGGGGTATATCTGAGAGATCTTTTTCAACAGGCTACCCGTCTTAGTATAAACACAAAGGTCAGTTTCCATTCGGCTAGAGAACTCCATTACCCACCCACCGCCCGCCCCATTGCTTTTATCTCATTTAGATTCAAAGTGCCTGTCAGACCTCCAGTATTTTCTTCATCCCTTCAACTACTTGATCCCATTAGCCATTAACAAATGAAGATCCTATCTCCATCACAATTCCATTTACATCTTTCCATTCTCACTTTCAGGCTCTTTTTTTTCCCCCCTTAGTTGTTTCCTCCTTTAAGTCCTTCTACACAATATCCTGTCCTATATGATCTCCCAACTGTGCGTCCACCAAAACACCAAGAACTATACGTATATGGGAGACAGTCAATGAACTTATGTCAAAAAGAATCCTTACAATACCCAGTTCCCCATGTGATCTGACAAATTTCTGGAATTCTGCTACTCTTTATGGCAGTACTGAACAAGACCAATGCAATCAATGGTGCATTCAAAATCTTTTTTTTTTTAGTTGAGGACACTTGACTTTTTTTAGTTGAGGCACTATTCCAAACCAGTTATACACATTAACTCTTAAAATTTTAGTGCTCAAAACAGCTCCACAAGACAGGTACTGTTATCATTCTTATTTTTCAAACAAAGAAGCTGGACAAAGTCACTTGCCAATAGTTACCCTACGAGAAGATCTGAGGCCAGGTTTAAACCCAGGCAGGCTGAGTTCATACCCACAAGCCATTAATATCTGTTACCTCTTATTTATCTTGTCCACGATTATTGCTTATGTGTGTCTGCAGAAACTCTTGGCAAATCCTGCTTTACTTAACCCATGAATTCTTTGATCATCCATTCAACAATCAGTACCATTAAAGCACCAAGCACTGGGCACAACGGAAGGGAGGTAGCAGCAGAGAAGGTGGCTAAGGACACTGGACATCTGTCTATGCAAACCAGTATAAGGGCAACAAGAATACTGATACATTCAAAAAAGTGCTATAGGAGTGAGTACAGGCAGCTTCATCCTCATTTGGGGGTTCCAGGGAAACTTCCTGGAGCAGTTGGCCAGGCAGTGTGGGAGTGGAAGGAAAGGGGTATCAGAGAAAGGAACTAACCTCTCAGAGGTCATGAGGATGGTCAGAGCACTGAAATTATTTTACAAAAGCCCGACTATCCTTGGCTGTCATGCCCCAAGCTGGTCCGCCCACTGCCCTGTTGGCCAAAATGAGGTAACTGCCACAGCCCTGAAACCAGGTATGCATTCTTTTCTCTCGCCTGTCTGCCTGTCACAGCCAGAAAAGACAAGTGTTTTTGTAGAGTTATGGTTTCATGCAGACACATCCTAGAATTAAAATTACTTCAGGGATATCTGCAGTAAAACTGAAGGAAACACCCAAAGGGCCAAAGGAAGCAGGCTTTATTGAATTTACAACGCAGAAAATATTTGTGGTTCCTTAGACATTTGCATTGCTATAAAAATTACACTTTATGGTATAATTATTAATGGGTTGAAGAGAAATAAACAGTATAAACGAAATATGGCCCATATTATGAAAATGTAAACCATATAAATCAAAATCGTAAAACAATTATTCAATACTCAGAGGCCTACTTAATATATACATATGAAATTTCTTATACACGCATACAATAAAAGCCCACAAAAACCATCACTCTGAAGTCGATCGCTGTACAAATATGAAAATAAATCTTTATCTTTAACCTAAATTTTATCTTCAGCAGGAGGGTTATGCAACTTGGGTTTATGCAAATCACATTTAGTATTAAAAAATCAAATGTCACATATGTCATATAAAGCAGCAAGTGGAAAAAAATAAATTATGAAAACGCATGGGTCTAAAAGTTACCAGTGAAAAATGTCTCCTTATCCAACACTATGTTCCATAAGGAAATTAAAATTTTCCAACGTATCAGGATACATTAAAAAAGGAGTATAGTATCATTGTGATTTTTAAAAGCTCTCAAAGGAAAAATAGAGATGTGGTGAGTAACTTCCATAGGAATATGCAAATGTATCAAGTTAAGTCTAAGTTAAAAACATTAAATAGTTTTATCCTTACCAAAGATATGCTTTAAATTTGAGAACACCTTCATGAAGTCTAAGTGTCGGTAATAATAATAATCTCCCAGCATTGCAGCTAAAAAGAGTTTTCAGTAGCTTTTCTTCAAACAAGATTGCCAACCAGAGCTCTTTCTAAGTCTCTAATCTGGATTATGTTGCCAAAATATTTCTCCAGGTTTGAACAGTTAAAGATGATTGGTTTGAATATCAAAGGTACCTGTATCATCTCCTAATCAATTTGGGTGTACTAGAGGCAAAGACCAAGATAATACTTCTGTATTAAACTATACTCTTATTTACAGATGGTAAGACAAATATAAAGAGACACTTTGAGGAAATAAATACAGGCAACATGATAATACATAAATTTACACGGTTTTGTGCAACTACACCAAAACCTAGACATGTGTCCCTTATGTCAACACATATATATCAAGTCCCGTCTTACCTGGGCTCAAGCAAGGCCACTAAGGGAAACAGAAATGGCAAAACTTTTACTTCATCATGCCACAAAAATAACACCCACTCCTCCCCTCCTGTTTATTTTGACAATTCTTCACAAGCAAGGCACTGTTGTTGTTTTTTTAAAATCATAAGTGTAATATTTTTCTACGGGACCAAAAAACAGGAAACAGGAATTCATGGTAAAGTTACTTAGGATAGATCCCACTCTCCAGCAAAAAAAAAAAAAAAAAAATCAGATGCCTTCAACGGGGAGAAGGCACATTTTTAAAAGCTAAAGGATGTTCTAACTATTTAAAATCTTTGTATATAACATACCCAGTCAATAGCTGTTTTTTAAAAATGAAGCTTGGGGAATTTAAGATTTGATCACAAAAGTGATAAACAGGACAAGGATTGCTACATAGAATTATTTTCAAAATAAATATCTTTAGCTTATGTAATACAATAAAAGACAGCTATTACTTAAGTTTTCCAGCAAGCTACTTGGGGCCTAGACCTACATGAACCAAGTGTCTTGTTGCTAATAATTTAATTGGTTCAGGCCTCTGAAAACCAAGCATCACCGTCTCCCCCTAGGGTCAGGTGTCCACTTTGGCTCTTAGCGACATTTCAGTGGAAAGTGTGGGGGTGGAAGACACTGAAGATTCTGGAAGGAGAGCAAGACCAACCAGGTCACTGCTAAGTCACTAATCGCATTAAACAAAAGACTCTGACTCACCTTTCTTAACGGCAATTCCTCTTGTAAAGACATTGCTTTCCAAAACCATGTATAGTATTGCTTTCATTGTTCATTATTTAAAGAAAGTTCATGTTTTGCAACTAGGAAGCTCAGGGACTTGCATTATGTTACAGATTATGCTTTAAAACCATGGAAAGGTCTGAAATAAGCATTAATATTTTAATTCAGAAAATGATAAATCATTCTAAGTGCTAGTAATTAATGTAGCCTAATTCACACACTCTAAAATACACCCTTTCAAAGGGTACAATTCAGTGGTTTTTAGTATATTCAAAAAAAATGCAGTCATTACCACCATTGTTATTCCAGAACATTTTCATCATCTCCAAAAGAAACCACAAACCCCTTAGCAGACATTTCTAGTGCCTCCCTTTCTTCAGTTCCTGGTGTATTTTTTTTAAATGAAAGAGTGATAACTTTCCTAGGCACTACTTTTGGAACTATGTAGTTTTACATGTTTTCAGTACAATTTTGTGTGTGTGTGTGTGAGAAAGCAAGACTTATTGAGAGGACAGAAAAGCTCCCACAGTGGGAGGGGACCCAAGTTACCCCTCAATTCAAATTTTAACCCTAAATTTCAACCCTAAATTTTTTTAGTTGTTCTGAGATTACAAAATATTCTCTTCTATACACAACTATTTTTGTCTCAAATGTTTTCTTTATACACAAAAAGTAGGTTTTTCTGTTTCCACTGGAGCCGAAGATATGACCGTTTTTCCTTCAATTAAATTCTGCTCTTATTTCATAAATGAGAAAAAAATCAATAGTCCAATATTAAAAAGGCAGGAATAACCAGAGTCCTTATTAACTGTGGGTCATCGTCCTCTCCTTCCAACTGCTGAAAGTGCTACAGAATCTGAGAGGGGCCGAGGCCTACAAGGCCTTCAAGGTCAAGCTGTTCGTTTTACAGATGAGGACACAGATGGACTCTGGCTGATGACATGTCCAAGATCACAAGGCTAGTTCATAGCAGAGCTGGGATAAGAACCCTTTTTACCAGGACTCCAGTACCAAGTATATAAAGTAAACGTTGCCCTGGGCTACCTACAAAGTCAGATACGACATGAATCTTATGATGTCAATGAGCTTCCTCTGTAGCTTTGATCTGAGCATGTTATTTATTTACCATTTAAAAGACACCGACATGTGATCTTTTAAGACCTGTAAGGACAAGGCTAGTCTATTTAACCAGAGGGCTCAAGTCACTCTTTGAGATACAACAAAGAAGAGCAGAGGATGAAGTTCAGATTTCCCACACTGTAACTCTCCGTATGGCAGTGTCAGTAGGATATGCCATTCTATTGAGAACCAAGCAAGTCACACAAATTCAGTATTCTGGAAATGAAGACTTCACAGGCCAAAGGTGTCGGGATTTAGCCATTGCAACAATTTTTCATCTGTGTGGACTTTTTGGAACTGGTCCCAGTCAGGTTGGTAATGGATTTGCTGTCATCCTCATCAGTTCTTTTTTTCACTTCTCTGGAGAAAGAGAGAGAAGAAAAAGAGAATTACTGAGGTACAAAGCTAAGCCACAAATGGCTCTGCAGAAATAAAAAAACAGCAATGCTGAGAGTTTGTGTGAGCCATCTAGACAGTGTTCTAAATGCTTTAAAGGGGTTGACTTATTTACTCCTCACAAGAACCACATACATTTTGCTGTACCTCGTTATATGTGTGAAGAAATGAAGGCAAAGAGAGGTTAAGAAATTTCCCTTAGGTCACAAGACTGGAGAAATGGGATTCAAACCACATAGGCTGGCTCCAGCATCTGTAATCTGATAGTCTGAGCACCAGGCCATATACACACACACACACACCTCTCACTCTCCCCAAACTTTCAGGATGCTATACAGTCTGTCACATGCACAACTTGCTCCTTAAAACTCTAGAACCTGGTTTTCATCCTCAAGTAATGCTTGTTGACCTTCACAAAAGCAATGGGGCTTTTATAACTATTCTTTAATTGTATATGATCATGCAGGTGACAATGGATAGTTAAAACCCTCCTTTTGCCTCATCCTATGTGTCTTTAAGAATTAACCACTAGAGGCAACACTGAAAAAAAATGTCTTACTCTTCAAGATCTTTTGAAAGCCCCCTAGGGAAGTATCCTTCCATGTGTAATTCTGGGAACGCTTGTGAAATATGAAGACCCACTTAAATAAACTGAATGGTTATCACTATGAGTGAGACGAGTGCCACAGCTCTATCCCCAAGATGGTACCAAACAATTCCACCCTTCCTTCTGAATGCCCAGGCCTTCCCCTTCAAGAGGCAGGGCTTTGCCCCTCCGCCCTTGGCCAGGACTGGCTCTCTACCTGATCTGACCCAAGGAATATGAAAGGAATGGTGCTCTGTGACCCCATCCAAGCCCAAGCACTAATAATGCCTGGTCACTTTACATTCCTCTCTCGGAGCCCTGGGCTGCCGTTTTAAAAGTCCAGGGTTCCCCAATGAAACCACCAGAGATGCCACATGGAGAGAAGCTATAAGGAGGAGCGCCCTGGCAGCAGACACCCAGCCGGAGCCACAGTCCCGGTGCCCCTCTGACTGCAAATGCATGAGACACTCCAAACAAGAGCAGTCGAGCAACCTTCCAGCTGAGATCCAGTCAACTCTGATAATTATGAGAAATTAAAAAATGGCTGTTGTCATAAGGAAGCAACTACCTGAAACCACCCAGAATCTGCATATGTTCAGCAGAGCAACTCTGTTCAATAGAAATGTAATGGGATTCACACGTCATTTAAAGTGTTTAAGTAGCCAGACTTCAAAAATGTAGAAAGAAATAGGTGAAATTAGTTTTATTATATTTTATTAACTCACTATAGCAAAAATACTGTCATTTCAGCATGTAGTCAATAAAAATAGTATCAGTGGGCTAGTTTACAATTTGTGTACTGTCTTCCAAATCCAGTATATGCTTGATACATACAACACAGCTCAATCTGGATTAGCCACAATTTCAAGCGGACAGTGGCCACCAAATTGGCCAGCATAGCTTTAGAAAGTGCTGGTAAGTCCTACCTTTTGAAAACCACTGCACAGTGAGTTGGGAAAAAAGGAAACTAATTCTTGCTGTAGGCCAACTAATAAACGTAATGATAAACATTTTTATGTTTTGCTTATTCAATACAAACCCCAAACACACACACACACACACACACACACATACACACACATACACCCACACCTGACAGGTTACTGGTGAGTATTATCGTCCTCATTTCATACATAAGAAATCGAAGACTCAGGAGAAGAAAAGATGGCACACAGTTTTACATGGTAAGACTCATTTTGGACTTCTGACTCTAGAACTTTCAGGTAATAAATGTGCATTGTTGAAGCCTCTACTTCTGTGGGAATCTGTTATAATGGCATATTAATGCAACTTTCCAATGCAAAATTTTGGTTATTTATTCATTCAATAAATGCCCAATTTATGCCATGCTCTGGGACCCTCTCAGCTAGTGAGCTTTGAGAGAGACAGATGTCCAAATAAATAATTACAAAGTCCAGAGAGCTGCTAACACATGCATACTGAGTGTTGCAGACTTCATGAAGATGGAGCTTCATAGATACTCTGATGATGGTGTGACCTCTTGAAAGAATAGAAATTCACCACAGTTAATGCGAAAGGAGTGCCACAAGTTCAGGGAACAGCATGCATAACGACAGAAGCATAAAAGAGTTTGACTATGCTTGGACACAAAGTTTGCTCCATCTATAAATTATCATTTATTTGGGAAAAAAGATAAGAAAGTTATCCAGAAAGGAAGGTGAGGTCAGGCTTTGAAGGACTATTAGCCACATGGTAAGGAGCTTGGATTTCACGTTGTAGGCAGGACACCAATGGGAGTTGTAAACAAGAAAGCAAATACTAATTGGATTTTTACTTATAAAAATTACCCCAAGCCGGGCTCGGTGGCTCAGCCTGTAATCCTGCGCCTTTAGGAGGCTGAGGTGAGTGGATTTCCTGAGCCCGTGGGTTCGAGACCCGCCTGGGCAGCGAGACCTCATCTCTACAATAAATCAAAAAATCAGCCGGGCGTGGTAGCGCTTGCCTGTAATTCTGGCTACTCGGAAGGCTGAGGCGGAAGGATCGCCGGAGCCCAGCAGACAAGGCTGCGGTGGCCGGAGCAGCCACTGCACTCCAGTCTGGGTGACAGAGTGAGACTCCAACTCAAAAAACAAAACACAAAAACAAAAAAAAATTACCCCAATTATAGGGTAGAGGATGAACTGATATTAGAGGAATTCTGAGGCAGAAACTCCTGCACTAACCCAGGCAGGAAATTTTGAGACCTGAACCAAAGCAGAGAGAAAAACAAAGAGAAATACATGAATTCAAAAGAGAGATGGAGATGACACAGGACTAACAGGTCCAGAAGCTGCTAGAGACAGAAGAGGATGCAAGAGAGGACAGGGATCAAGATGGACTCCAGATGGCTATCTTTTAGTTGCAATTTTGGTAGGTTTCTGAGGAAGGGAATGCAGAATGAGAAACAACTTTAAAGCAGCATTAACACATTGGGATTTGAGTACGTGGAGTCATAAGTCTACGGAACTTCTAGAGGGTGGTGCAGAAAACACAGGAAATTTATAAAAGAGGTGGGGTTAAAAATACAAATAGAGATGGTTCCAGAAGCCATGCAGATGGAAGATATTAGGCACAGAGAGGGAGAAAGAAGAGAGTGCAACATGAGACCCCAAGATTACAAACATTTAAGTGGCAAGTCAATGATTCAGGTGAATAGTGAAGTGTCTGCACTTCGACATTTAGGAGCTATCTCACTTTGAGCAAGCTGATTCAGCATTCTCATTCCCAATTTCCTCATCTGTAGAATAGGTATAACGACTATGGCATCCTTTCAGGACAACTCTCATGTCTCTCTTTTGGGAGGACTCATTGACCTCTATCACATACTATATGACAAACTGGTCTTTTTTTTTTTTTTTGAGTTTGAGTCTCACTCTGTTGCCCAGGCTAAAGTGCAGTGACACTCTCACGGCCACCCCAGCATCGACCTGCTGGGCTCAGGCAATCCTTCTGCCTCAGCCTTCTGAGTAGCCAGAACTACAGGTGTGTACTACCATGCCTGACTATTTTTAATTTTATTGTAGAGACGAGGTCTCACCAAGTTGCCGGGGCTGGTCTTGAACCCGCGGGCTCAGGCAATCCACTCGCCTCAGGCTCAGGCTGAGCCACCTAGCCTGGCCTTGACTGGTCTTAAATTGTCATTTTGTTTCCTCTGAGGTTAAGTTGCAAGGTCTGCCTTTTAGTCCCTTGATATCTATTGAGCCTAATACAGGACTATGCACATGGTAAGTGCTCATAATGCAGACCTTATTGAACCTGAAGGCAAATATTAAGGGAAAATATATACACCCACATCTTTCACCTGGCCTTAAGTTTCTTTAATCTGCTAAAAATGCAGGCCTGCCCCACTTTAAGAAAATCAGAAAGCTACAATTCCAAACATCTAAAACAGGGTTAAGGCTGGGAAAAATAAGTCACCTCACCCAAAACTACCATACACTTTAAAACTGCATTTAAAATGACTCAGTCTTATGGACAGATTTATACCAAGGGCTCAGTTCTTGTGCTGAACTGACACATCAGCCCGAGCTTTTGTGTTTTTCTCCAAATTCAGTCTTATCCATTAAATGCCTATTGAACTTACATCTACTGCAAAATGTTTAAAGCCTGAGTTTCTGGTGATGGTGAATTTCCTTACCAATGGGACAATGGTTGTAAAAGATGTCCTGTCATCACCATAAGGAAACTGTATTTCTAGGAGAAACTTTACCTGGGATTGAGAGGTTTTCTAAGAAAAAGCAGGGTCGTTCGGGTTTTTAACCAAACATTACAGGCTCCCTTCAAAAACAAATTCTGTTTCAAACCGCACAAACCCAAACACTCTTCAAGTTTTTATGACATCACATGATGCCGAAGGGACAATGCTGTGATCACCCTAGGAGATCCATGTTGAGAACACATGTGTTTTTGCAATATACATCTCTTTCTAAAGACTTTTAAACTTTTTTAAATGATAATTTTACCTGTGGAGACTAGAACATTTCCATTTAAGATTTGAGTACTTTGACAAGCAAATCTGAAGGCTGAGTATAAAGAAATTAAAGTCTTCACATAGGTACTTATTTGCTTCACTTATAATTTTTATATTTAACCCATTGCTGATATCACTAGAGGTCCCAAACCAGGCCCGAATGCAATAAAAAACAAACAAACAAACAAAACACTTCGCCATAAGTGATTCACAAGAAACGTATCTGATTTCTTTAACTGTCTAAAGCTTACAATAATAACTATGACCTGACCATTACACTGCTGCAGTGATCTCATTATCACCATGCCTTTGCATACTAGTTGTTTTAAGTCAACAATCATAAGTCCATGTCTAAGCTACACTGTAAATAGAGCCACTGCCTGGCTGACCCAACATGTCACAGGAGCAGATGGGGAGAAAGACCCAGGGAGCTTACAGCCTCTCCTATCTTTATGACATAATAAAGAGAATCGATTCTGAACTCTGGGTGTGACCAGGGCACTTTGGAGCCATTTAACTTTAATAGGAGATCGTAAGACAATCAGGCATTGAATAGTGATTCTGTTACTCAGGAGAGTCCAGGCTGTCATACCCAGAATCACAGGCTGTTAGAATTAGGAAGGACCTTTGAGATCATTTTATTTAGAAAGCCTCCCTCATTTTACAGAGGAGAGATACTGAAAGGAAGACAAGGACTCGTTCAAGACTTCATGGCTACTTAGGGGTAGATTTAAGAATGGGCTTGGAGTCTCCTAACACCACACTACTCCAATGTTCTGGGCAGCAACCAGTGACCACGTGCAAACCTGACCTGCAGCATCCTTTACTGCTGTGTGGAAGCAGTAATGCCACACTCACTGACTAGGGCTGAGGCGGTCCAATGATGCTCTGATGACCTGCTGGACCTTCCCCACTGCCATCCGCGCCCGCAGCGACATCACTGCTATCCAGGAGTCCTCAGGTACATGTTAATGAAACACCCACACAGCCATTTGAAAAGTGAAAATACCTGCCAATTCAGCAATTACTCCACCTTTAGTAAAGTCAGACACTGCACCACACTGAATTCTCCTGGCTTTACTGAACGCAGCTTGTTTGGCTAAAACAGTTGATGTTTCCTGTCCACCCATAAGTGCATAGATTCCATTATTTGACCCAATACATAAAAGTTTTACTCTGGCTACTTTTTGACAAATGTGGTATTAGCCTACGATTCTCCTACTATTCACAGGCAAAAAACCTTGTAGCTCAGTTGCATCCATACATGTTTAAACACGTGCCTTTTTTCCTAGATGCTTTAGGTCACACTCATGTTAGCACTGTTTTTGGCTTTAAAATGATTTCCAGTTATGTGGGTGGAGGTGGCTATGTCTCTTGGACTGATGTCAAAGAGGAAAATGTTCATAGATACAAACTAAGGCCAAGCAAGCCACCTAAAGTTCTGGGATCTGTTTCTTGATTACCTCAACACTCTATCCCAAGGCCCCATCCAAGTATTCTATTATTAGAACTCTATTCTATTAGGTCCTATAACTACCAAGTCATTAATTGAAAAGCAGCACTGAAGACACAGCAAAGTATTTTAACTGTTGATGTCTACTAGCAGAAGAGACCAATTATCACATTAAGTTAAAACTCTTTTAAAATCTCACAAATAATCAGAAACAGAATGACATGCTTAAAGTTAGGTTTTAACTTTGTCTGCAATTAAAGATAAGTGTCCTGATTTTTTTAATGTGCATTTTATTTTTTTTTGATAATTAATCCCTTTAGGGCAATAAAGAATAATCTTTTCATTTATGGAAAGAAAACTAGATAGAAGAGAGAAAATCTAACAGAAAAAGTTGTTTCCTAAGAATATTTCAAGGATTAAATCACATACATTCATATCCAAGTTCTTTAATGATACCATTTTCATTCCAATCTACTTCCAAAAAGTTATTTATTATTAACGCCATTGCCTTAGCTTAATAATTACTTAGGTAATAATTCTGGCAAAGTGTTTCCAACTGGCATGATACACAATTTGCTTTGTTGGGTTTCTCCCCCTTTACCCAGGAAAATGTCATAATAGATCGTTGTGTTGTTCACAATAGTCTTTTGTGTCTAAATCTGGTTCCTGGAAATGATTCATACATGTCAACAATTAGCTTTGTGGTAACATTTTGCAGAAATGTCAACGACACCTCAGATGCACCTGTTTTGCTTGGCAGTACAGATATTTTGCCAATGTTTACAGCAGCCCTACCAGTTTCAAAGATATTCATATATTTGTTTCTTAAATCGTGGCTGAAAGATAAGACAGTGTTTTCCAATGTGTATTCTACCTTCATGTTATGGTCAAGAAATTGGACACACGCATCACCTAAGTTAAAATTCAATCCTATGTCCAGTTTCCCAAACAGAAAACAAAACTTTACCGAGCAAGATGGAGAACTGCTTCCACTATATTCGAACCATCTTTGGCACTTGTTTCACAGAATAATGCCCCATATGTCTGTAGAAAAGAAATATATGCACACAATTAAATGAAGTCTCTAATTAGGCCCCTGGGAACTTTAGCTTACAAAATAGAATAAAATTTATTTTTCTGTTGAGCATTTTAAGAGTGACTAATAGCTAAGAAACTGAATTCAGAGCTTCAATACTTACAAAAAAAATAAGTTTGTGCATAGTTATTCCAGAAACAGTTTCCAGTCAGAGGATTTTTTACTTTGCATTATAAAATACATACAATTTTATGTTGTAAAGTCGTCATTTCCAACAGTCTAACACATGCCACCCGATGTTCTCTATCAAATAACTTGAGGTAGATACAAGTGGCAGTTGAAGCTAACCACGCAGGAATGTAATGTCCATGGTACGTTTCCTTTTGGGCAGCAGTTAATGCTCCTCCTCCTTCCTAGTATCCTCTTGTCCTGTCAGGATCTAGCACCCTCCACATTGCTACAACCAATGGACATTTTCTAGTCCTTTGTTGCTCCGCCTCCCAGTGGTTATGTATATGATCACTGATCACATCGCTCTCCCGCCTCAAGCCTTTTGATGCCTCTCATGCGTCTTCAGGTGGTGTGCAAATGCTGTCCATGGCCAACAAGGCCCAGGCTCCCAGCTTCCCCTTCCACCACTGCTCCTCACTGACAGAGCTCCAGGTACCCTAGGCTCCTCCTCCTTCTCCAGTGCCCCCAATTCCCTCCCTATCTCAGGACCATTGCTCCTGCACCCCACCGCCTCCTTTACGAGTCTAACTCCTACCTACTTACTGGATTTTTAGGTAATCCTCCCTTGAAGCTAAGACTCAGTCTTCTCTCTCTCTCTCTCTCTCTCTCTCTCTCTCTCTCTCGCTCTCTCTTTCTTTCTTTCGAGTTGGAGTCTCACTCTGTCACCATCCTCTCACCTCAGCCTCCCACCTCAGCTGGGATCACAGGGGTGAGCCACCACGCCCAGGTGATTCAGTCTTTTCTAACCTTAAAAATCTACATTTAGGCCTTACTATCATAAAGCTTCACAGCACTCTGTATTTCTTCTGCACAGCACTTGCCACAATTGTAATTGCTCAAGTTATTTTTGTGTGTCTTTGTCTGACCAGCTGGAGACATTTTCTCTTAATAAAAGAGAACTGAGTGTGCTGTAGGCCCGGCTATGGATAAATCAGTCTTGTGTGACACAAGGGGGAGGATGTGACACTTGCTCTGGGACAGGGAGAGCAAGAGAGCCAGACCGGAGACTCTACAGTGGGACCTGTACCCAGGAGCCCCCAAATCCATAGAAAACCTACAAAAGTCACAAAACAACTGTATTTCTAGTAGAAAGAGGTCGTGCTGCTGCTGGTTTCTATATCTAGTATGTTATGGGGTGAAACAGGGACCGCCTTTGAGGGAGCAAGAGGGTGGAGGTATGAGATGCAAGAGGAAGCAGCCCTGGGAACTCTGAGAAGTCATGAAGAGGGAAGAACACTGGCAGGTGGCCAAGCATTTCCAGATGTTGAAGGGGCCGTGTGGGACAGAGCTTGGCATGGGCTTATGTGAGTGTAACGTTTGTCTCCCCAAGACAGTTCACTCTGCTAGGGTGAGGACTGTCTGCTTTGTTCTCTGCTCTTTGACCAGCGCTTAATGAAGTGGCTGTCACAGGATGGATACAGTTAAAATATGTGTTGAATGAATCTCCTCTGCATTTCGTTGTCGAGTTTTGACGTTCATCACGTTTGGTTTGCAGTTGTAATATTTAAAACAAGAAAGATGTTTCCAATTTTAAAATAGTAACACTGAAACTTCTTTTTAAAGTTCACAAGCTGGGCTCGGTGGCTGAATCCCTGTAATCCCTGTAATCCCGCGCCTTTGGGAGGCTGAGGTGAGTGGATTGCCTGAGCCCGCGGGTTCGAGACCCGCCTGGGCAGGTGAGACCTCATCTCTACAATAAATCAAAAAATCAGCCGGGCGTGGTAGCGCGTGCCTGTAATTCTGGCTACTCGGAAGGCTGAGGCGGAAGGATCGCCGGAGCCCAGCAGGTCAAGGCTGCGGTGGCCGGGAGTGGCCACTGCACTCCAGTCTGGACGACAGAGTAAGACTCCAACTCAAAAAAAACCCCAAAAAACAAAAAAGTTCACATGCATATGCTACAGAGCAGTCCTTCCTTGGCGTGGATGACAGACAATAATATCAACATCAAGCCAGGCTGCCACAGTATGTGCTTATGTGACCCAAGGGGCACCTGATTTCTTGTATGGAGAAGACACGTCACAAGACTGCCACTTGCATTCTGACATGAGGACAGATGATGGTGAAAGGAGAATAAACACTGCCTGTGATAATAATCTAAAAAGGAGTGAGTTTATTTCTGTTTACGAATGCAAACCCAAAATAATTCTAGAGTATTTCAACTAAACTCAGATCTTAGAGAAAAAAAGATGTCTTCCAATTCCCTCCAGCCCAGGTAAGACACTGCACCATCCTCTGCCCCTTGGCACTGTAACCCTCTGAAACCAAACCCATCTTTCCAAAACAGAGCCCTCATTCTCTCTCCTTCACCTAGATTCCAGGACTAGAGAAGGATTCCAGGAATTGGGTGTGAGGGAGGAGGGAAACGACAGGATTACTTCAGTTCCTCTTTGTCAATGGTATTCAGTGGGGGAAATGATCACGTGATTGTTTTGCCTTCATGAGGGATTTAATCCATCATATAATTATCTACACTCAAGAAAGGGGGAAGTCATAGGAGTCCTGCCCTTGTAAGTAGAACAGACTTCCCATCAAAGGGTTGGACGTTTATCAAAGAACCTCTTAGGCAAAGGTAGACAGAAGTGAGAGGCCACTGACTCCAAAGCCATTAACCTTCTACATTCTCTTCCAGTGTGGACCCATCCTCACTCTTACCATGGCCAGTTTTTCTCCAAAGTATCCTGGGACACATTTTTGTCCTTCTGCAGCAGCGGTGTCACGAAGATCAGCCTTGTTTCCTACCAACATGATAGGAATAGTCTCATGGGTTGCATCCTGCCATGAAGAAAACAAAATTGGGCGTATATCAAACACTGGACACATTACAATGACGATGACAACAGCAACAGCAGCAGTTATCATTTTCAAGTTGCCCCTTGGCTGCCAAGTGATGTATAGATGATTTCTTTAAACCTCAAAATGTCTCCAAAAATAGTCAAACTTTTTTCCATTTACACATGAGAAAACTGAAATTCAGAGAGGTTAAATAAGTGTATAATATGTAAGAGCTACGGCCTGGGTCCAAACTACCTCCATAACCCTTGCTACTATAAAACGTTGTTCCCTTATGTCAATGAAAAGGGTAAAAGGTTGGATTATTCTGTTTTACAGCAAAGAGAAAATACCTGCTAATTTCTTATCACTAGTACACAGAGCACCACAAACCAACATAAACCCGAGAGCCATGACCACCGGATTTTATTTGGCTGTGGTGCCCACATAACTTTCTACAACTTTCACTTTAGACAATGCTGATTACAAGTCAGGTTCATTATCCCAGGTACAACATACAAGTCATTCACATACAAGTAATTCTTCAGCTGTAATGGGACCAAAATGGAGTCTGAAAGTTCTACACTCACTATTCTCTGGTTTACGACAAAAGCAACCTACAGAAGTTTTGAAGGTCAACATTCTTCTTATAGAGTCAAATGCCAATCATTCAAAGCAACAGAGTCTAAGGAGAATGCTCCCAAACCAGCATAGGTAAATTGTCACAGTGTTCCCCCAGTCACAGTGGGGATGGAATGTTAAATGAGTGGCAGAACCAAGTTCAAGACCTGTCCCTCCTACCAGCTGTCCAGTCACTGGCTATGTAAAATCAGGCAAGTCTCTGCAGGTTTCTGCCTCAGTCTCCCTATCTATAATGAGGGCATATTCCACCTCAGTAGGCTTTCATGAGAATGAAAGAAGATAATATAATTGGCACAGAAACACGGGTTGCTGGTTCCAAAACAAGAGAAGCAGCAGCCCTGACAAAACCATGTGGAAACCACTTTCCTAGTAACCAAACATGTCTGGGTGCTCATTTGGTTGGTGCTATTTCTGATCCAGTATCAAGAAGTGAGCTATAAAATGAAATTATATTTGGTTTCCATTCTCTTCAAACAATTTTCCTTTGACTGAAGGCACCTGCCTGTAATAAAAGCAAAGGAGGGAAGGAAACAGAAGGCCCTCTTCAAAAGTAGCTGCTCCACCCATGAATAAGTACATTAATCGTGTTCTTTGGTGATCTCCTCAGTATGCAAGGAGGCTTCATCGGGAAGCTCAATATACCCATTCAAGCAAGCCAAGAATCTGGGTAGCTAAAAGACTTCCCAAAATCACACAGGTAAATCACACTTCTCCAAGTCGACTTAAATCTCTCCTTTGTGGTGAATATGCCTTGATCACACAAAAGAAAGCTGCAACCCACTTCCTCATCATTAGGCCTTTTAAATTGCTCCCTTTTTGTTTCAATACCTTTGTTACTTTCTAGTACATCATTTCTTCTTTTATTTCTTTATGTTTGTTGATTTTCATCTATCTCCCACACTAGAATACAAGCTCCGTAAGGACAGGACTCTTTTATTAACAAATATCTATTTTATTAACTAGTAACTTTCTATTAACAAGTATATCTCAAGAACCTAGAATACTACACACAAACAGAACAGATACCGAAAAGATATTTCTGAATATGTAAAAGTCGGAAAGAAATCTTATATTCCATTTAGCTTTTACCCAAATATTCCACCCATAAATTATTCATGGCAGGCAAATAAATGGTCATCTTTCTATTTTAGCCATAATTCTATTGCAAGATTTTGTCACCCTGGTGCTTTTCCATTAAAGTGTATTAATTATTAATTCAGAGAGCCCACTCACCACTGACAGTCTACTGCTTTCATCCCTCTGGTCTATTCCAGCGATCACCCTATTCATTCTTACCCATATCTATAGTGGCCGTATAAATTGTTCCCAGGCCGGGCTCGGTGGCTCAGCCTGTAATCCCGCGCTTTGGGAGGCTGAGGTGAGTGGATTGCCTGAGCCCGCGGGTTCGAGACCCGGCTGGGCAACTTGGCAAGACCTCATCTCTACAATAAAATCAAAAACAAATTAGCTGGGCATGGTAGCACGCGCCTGTAGTTCCAGATACTTGGAAGGCTGAGGCGGAAGGATCGCCGGAGCCCAGCAGGTCAAGGCTGCGGTGGCCGGGAGCAGCCACTGCACTCCAGCCTGGGCGACAGAGTGAGACTCCAACTCAAAAATAAAATAAAAATAAAAATAAAATAAAATAAACTGTTCCCATAGGATCTCCTCAAGTTAGGAACAGTGAATCACAGAATCTTCACTGCAACCATCCTTTCTCTAAACTGAAAGTCAAATGCCATGTAATATAAGTTTCCCCCATAACAAATTCAAGAACTCATCTTTTCTACAGTTTTCTTCCTTTTCAGAGCCCTGAGAAGGTGATACCGAGGACTGAAAAGGTTACTTACCACGTGAAGGTGCTTAGCAAAGAGTGGCAGTGGCCACTTCATACAGGGAGATTTGGCTGTGGCTGACCTTGCCTCTTGTACCTCCTTTTTCTGAACATAATCCAAAGATTTCAGGTGAAGACTAAGTCCAACATGCCAGTGATAACAAGTTTTGCTGTAGATTTTAAACGCTCGTGTGTATGAGTCTATTGGGATCATCCATTATTCTCTGGACCCACTCTCTATCCCAGCGAGCTCCATGTGTTCCCTTGAGCAGCTGCCACTCTGTGCATTAACTGTATCGTGGGATGCCTTTCTTGACATCAACATTTCTCCCCGTCATCTGCTGCTCACTCTGGTGCTGTATCGACGTAGCAGCCAGTGTTGGATCAGGCAGTTCGATGTGAGCCCCCTATTCTACCCCTAACCACTAAATAATGATCAGCAAGTACCACATTCTTTCTATAGCTCAAGTTTCTCATAAAAAGTGAGAATAAGTCTCTTCCCTTCTCAGATGTTAGAGAGATGAATAAAATATATGAGATATTTTGTGAAGTAAGAATGTTACGTAAATGTGAATGCTCTTTCATTGTGTTTATATTCATCTGAAGTTATGATAACTCGGTAGAACAAAGTGCATATTTATTTATCATTGCCAAAGTCCTATTGCCAATTTCAACCTGTCATTTCTCACACTACTCCCTTTAGTTAGAAAGAGTATATTAATGCCAGAGGCTAACTTGAGATCAGACAGCAACCAATCCTCTGTTCGGTCACTACTGTACTGTCTGGTTGAAATTATAGATAATATACTTACTTGTAAAGTTGTATCAGCCACTAGTTTATTTTTCAACAGGGCATGCTAAACCATAGCTTGAACTACAGTATTATGTTAATTTACAGCTCTTGGCCACATGCTAAATGCAGCCTAAATCATTTCCTACTTTAAAAAAATTATTTAACATGAAACTAGAGGACAAGAAAGCTCCTCAGATGAAAGACACCATCTTATCTAACCAGAGTAAGCACAAAGTTACACCACATGCTTAAAATATCAACTGGTATTTCAGTGGTACTTTGAGATGTCTACAGACCTCAAACCGTAGCCAGAATAAGGTTGAGAAGACAGGTGCCACAAAATTTGGACCTTAGCACATGCTGACATCTAGGTAGTATTTCACCTGTACTTTTTCAACCACATGGAAATCCCTACCATGTTACATACCCTAACATACCCCATCTCCGTAAGAGCTTCTTCTTAGGTTACCTGCATTTTCATGTGCTTACAATGGGGTTTTGATTTTATCTGCAAGAAAACCCAGAAGTTTTATTCCCAGAAGCTCCTTTCTGTAGTGTCCTTGGCTTCAAGGAAACTAGCCCAACTGCTGAGGAAGAGACCAATGCTGCCAATTCTGCCTCTAGCATCCAATTCTTCCTGATGGTTTGGATCAATGGTTTCTAATCAATTTCACTCTGACAAAGGAGAGCATTAGCCTTTCCCAAGATGGCCTAGAACTCCCTCATGTAATTTTCTGTTTCTCCATTTTGATTTCTTACCTCAATCATATCTACCCATTCTCGTACATTAAGAAAGCTTTTCTCGCATGTAACATCATACAGCAGCAAAACACCATCTGCTTTTCTGAAGTAAGACTTGGCAATACTTCTGAATCTGGGGAAGAGAAAAGCACATAATCAGACATTTTGTGCAGCCTCATTTTTCTTCTCTTTCGTGTTCATTTTTTTCTCATCTTCTAAAATTAGCCCCAATTGAGAAGACTCTAACTGCAACATATTACTGCAAAATAGCCATCTCAAGGCCTCGAATGATGCAGCAAAAGGCAATGGGATGAGAATCTGAGAGGCTTATTCAGAAAAGACAATCCTTTTCTCTACCAAATAATCTCCCAAATGGCCATAAACCCCAACACGTAACTAGGAAAACGTGGACAGCATAATTTCTAAAAGTTTCAACCTCAGCAACAAGCTACTAGAATCCACATCAGAGACACAGAGGAGGCTAGAAGGAGGTACAAACTAGAGAGAAATGATTTGGGGGTAGTGGGTAGGAAATGCTGTGGGTGGGTGGAAGAACCAACATAACATGCCAGAAGCTTTACAGACTCGGGAGTGGAAGTCTTCTCACTGGGGGAAGAACACAGCTCAGCACACATGTCCTAATTCTAAGTATAACATGAGTATTTTAACTTAGGGCCATGTCAACCATAAATATTTTTAAAATGCTGACACTCTTAGGACACTCGAGAATATGAGCTTTGTGTCAGTTCACCGTTGACTCTTAGCGCACTGAGTCATAATTATAAGTAAGAAGGACATCAATCTCCTACAAGACTTGTTCCTGCAAACCCAAGCAGAGCCCAAAGCCCTATGAAAAGCACTTGCCTCTCCTGACCAGCCGTATCCCAGAGCTGCAGCACTGTTCGCTCTCCATCTACAATGAGAGTTTTCATTTGGAAATCAACTCCTGCAAAGGAACATGAGAGTGGAGAATATGATATAAATAATTCCACTGGCTTTTTACTTTCAAGCCCTCTGCAGATAAGGCAAAAGTCAATAAACCAAAGCTCAGCATGGTAGAGGAATGATCATGGCCTTTACGGAGTGACCTTCAAATAGTAATTCTAAGTCAGGTCACACATGTGAGTGCCGATGTACCATCTACAGGTTGGCTGACTTGGGGAGGGATTTATTCTATGGACAAAGGGAAAATCTATGTTCTATTTTCCCAGATGATCAGAAAAACTCAGTCGTGTGTGTGTGTGTGTGTGTGTGTGTGTGTGTGTGTGTGTGTGTGCATGAACGTGTATATATTTTATGTATATACGTATGTGTACGTATTTGTATATACAGTAAGTTTCCTACATATGAGCAAGTTCTGTTCCAAGAGTATGTTCATAAGTCTAATTGGTTTGTAAGTCCAACAGAATTAGCCTATTTACCCAACTAATACAAGAGGTTTATAATACTTTTCACACAAATAATACAAAAAACCCCAAACAGTACCGTACACTGTGTTACTAAGGCACAACCACTTAAAGGGGACACACACATGTGACAATGTATGCCAGATACATGAACTAACTTACGTGACTGGACATGAGAAAGCACATTCACATTTTTGAAAGTCCACAACTTGAGGGTTTGTATGTAGACTTACTGTATATACATATGAGATGCACCATGGTCTCTAGCGACCAAATAAAATCCAGTTGTCTTTTTATGAATCAAATTCAAGTGAACTTTCAGCTTTGTTATCTTGAAGAGTGTATCGAGGAACCGTATTTTTATAAAGACACCCATTGTAAAGAGGGCAATCAGTCTGTTCTAACATTTCTGATTACCAAAATAAGAACTCTTTTCATAAAAAAAGGAAAATAAATGATGATTTGCATATCTTCAACTCCTTTTACTGTCTATTATGCAAATTTGGGAAATCAGGATACTACCTATTCTACTGAAGGTGGGGAAGGAGGCATACTTCTGGCTATGATTTTGACCATATGACAAAGTGGCCTTCAATATTGTCAAATGACACCATATCAGTTAGGCTTTTCCTGGCCACCCTGTGGCAGTCTGTACCTCTCTTCCAACCTCACCTTTTTTTTTTTTTTTTTTTTAGTTGGAGTCTCACTCTGTTGCCCAGACTGGAGTGCAGTGGCTGCTCCTGGCCCCCGCAGCCTCGACCTGCTGGGCTCCGGCGATCCTTCCACCTCAACCTTCCAAGTAGCTGGAATCACAGGCATGCGCTACCACACCCAGCTGATTTTTTTGATTTATTGTGGAGATGAGGTCTCGCCAACTTGCTCAGGCGGGTCTCAAACCCGCGGGCTCGGGCAATCCACTCACCTCAGCCTCCCAAGGCACGGGATTACAGGCTGAGCCACCGAGCCCGGCCCAACCTCACATTTTTTATCATTTCCCTCTACCAGGATATAACTTCCTTGCTGGCTGGGACTTAGCCGGCTTTCCTCCTTGTGTATTCTTAGCGCTCACAATGGTATCTGGCTCTGAGTAGGACTCAGAAAATACGTGCCAAATAAACGAATCAGACATCTCAAGCTCTAAACCTGGCTCAATTCATCTGACTGGCTAAGCAGATACCTCTGTCCTTTGTCTTCCTTTCCTAAAAGTGGCCTTAGCCGAAACAGACGACTATTACATAGACAAGGACACACACACACGCACACAGACACATACATACACACACACACACACACACACACACACACACACACACCCCTATATGCATGTACATACACACAGAAAGAAAGAGGAAGAGAGATCTGTGTAGAGAATACCTAAGGAAGAGAAAATTCGAGATAAGAAAGGTCACATTCTCACCATCAACTAGAATAGGAGACATACCCAGGGTAGCACTTGTATTTCCTCGAAATTCATTCTTGCAAAGTCTCATGAGGAAACTAGACTTCCCCACTGCAGCATCCCCGGCGAGCACAATCTTGTAGGCCTTCTGTGAGCTGGGAGATTTGTGGTCATCACCTATCAGGTCTGTCTGAAGGGGAAAAAGACACAGTGAGTTATAAAGGCAGTGCCAGTTTCCTTCCTACTAAGTAACATGGCACAGAAAAGTAGCAGTGTTCACGAATAGGAGTGTCTCAGAAACTACCTACCTGGGGGGAAAGTGCCGAGATGGGCTTTCTTGGTGAACTAACAGTGCTCCCTTCGCTAACAGACCCTTGGGGCTTCCAGTCTAAGATGGAAGCCACATCTTCAGAACCGTACGTCTCTTCATCCCTTATGTCAGGAACCTATTTTTTAAAAAAAGTCAGTAGTTAGAAAACAAAGTCTCTCATTAACAAATATATCACAGATTAAAGAGAAGAGAAAAATGCAGCTCAATCTGCTATCAGTGCTATTATAAAATAAAATGGCCCTGATTGGAAGTCTATGAGAATTTCTTCCTAACTTGGTAGAGAAAACAGTATTTTACTGACTATCCTTCATATTTATGACCTTTAAGCCAGATTCCCGTAACAGATAGAAGGCAAATATGGTGACCGCTTTCAAAGATAAAGCCTAGGAGAACAGTGGTTTCTGGGGCTTACATCTGTGTCAGAAGTATCACCTCCAAAGCTCTCCTGCACCCCGTGGGACCTCTGAGACCCCCTCTGGTGCTTGTAGTCCACCTCTGAGTCATACTCATTGGAATCTCTCAAGGTAGACAAGCCACTGTCGAAGCAGCTCTCGGGCAGGCTGTCAACTTCACAGTTCATCCTCTGCATAGGATCACAGAGGGCCAAGGAGTCACAGTCCTCATCCATGTAGGAAGAGCGGGATGATCTGGTAATAAAGAAGAAGACCAAGTTACCTGAGAGCTGGTAATACAGGAGAATGCACAGGCAATAAGCCACATGCTGTTAGATGGAATCAAGGAGACTGACATTCTCGCTTTTGCCAGGAGCAGTGATATGTAGTTCATGATTAAGCATCCTGGGAAATAAAATGTTCAAAGCAGTATCAGTTCATTCTATGCAACAGTTAATTAAGGTAAAGACCCTCAAATCAAACATTTAACGAATGAAGTCATTTTTTAAATGTCCTTATTTCACGATACAAGAGGAATTAGAGTGCTCAAGATGTAAATGTAATCTCAAGTTGTGTTAATAAGAATGTGAGCCTTTTTACTCTAATTTTTTTTTTTTTTTTTTTTGAGTTGGAGTCTCACTCGGTCGCCCAGACTGGAGTGCAGTGGCCGCTCCCGGCCACCGCAGCCGCGACCTGCTGGGCTCCGGCTATCCTTCCGCCTCAGCCTTCCGAGTAGCCGGAATTACAGGCATGCGCTACCATGCCCGACTGATTTTTTTTGATTCATCGTAGAGATGAGGTCTCAATGCCCAGGCGGGTCTCGAATCCGCAGGCGCAGGCAATCCACTCACCTCAGCCTCCCAAAGGCGCGGGATTCCAGGCTGAGCCACCGAGCCCGGCTACTCTAATTTGGTCAAATCATATTCTGATCATTGTGTTTATATCTAAATAACAGCTCTACTTAAAAGAGATGCTGAGAACCCAGGTGAAAAAGGCAGCCACAGTATTGTGAAACTCAAAACCCTCAGATATGAGAAATGTTCAGTGTATTCAAATCTTAATGGTTTCTCTCTTCAAATACTTAAAGAGTTGACACATGAAGAAGACTACATCCTCTCAGGTTGCATAAGACAAAACAAGATGAACTTTTCATGGAGTCATATTTCTAATCAACATGGTAAAAAAGGGGGGGGGCAGTTAGAAATGTGTAGTACCAGAAAGTGTGGTTTGACATATGAGATGAGTTTTCTGTCACTAAGTATGGACCCATAGTCTGCAAATACCTCTACAGAAGTTTCATAGGAAGGTGCCTCAGATAAGGTTAGAACTCCTGACTTTTGTGGATCATTCCATTTGTGACACTCAAGATTTTACAAATAAGGGAGAAGTTAACATCAAATAGGAGAATCAAAAGAAACCGTATACTTTCCTATTTACTTTTGATTTTCCATTTGGTTTTCATAAGAATCTAAGTTTATGTTGAAATATCAACAATGGATATGACTTACTTAGCATCCACTACCCATTGGCCACCATCCCAGTCACTTTGCTTACATGGATCATTGGAAAGGGAGAAAGAGCAAAAGACAGAGGTCTTCGTATAAGAGAAATAAGAGATGGATATACTTAGAAGAGAGAGGGTCATTTTAATATAAGTAAGCATAAGCCGTGTAATCTGAGAAGCCAAAAATATTTTTGTGTCTTTAGCAAATGCTTAAAATTAACTAAAAAGATAATTTAACTACCTTAATTCTCTTTTAATATGTTGCTCAATTATAAAGTCTTTATTCTGAGATAGGAATTTCATACTATATTTTCATACTAGCTAGGTGTGGGTGTCTAAATATGTTTTTCATTATTTATAGAACTTTCCTTCTAAACTGATTTTAGGTCAATATGTAAGGTACATAAGAAAACCCCTATGCTTATAATATACTACAAACTAATTTGGCTCCATATCTTCATTATTGGTTCGAATATTTTAAAACCTATTTCTATTTTTTTATAAGGAGCAAAGAAATAGTGAAATCCTGAATTGAGGAATCATCTCCATGAATATCTAGAATTTAAATTAAAAATATAGGTACAGATCAAACTTTCTCAAATTCAATGAAATGTGTATCCTTTTCAAAGTAAACCATTCTTACCAACCCTCAGAATATTTTCATTGTAATGAATTATGTAAAAATATAAAACAAGTCATATTTTTGGTTAGTGTTCTTGCAAAAAACCACAAAGTCAAAACCAATTATAAATTAAAATCAAATAAAGCCACAAAAACTATACAATTAAATGGATAACATGCTTTTATTAAGTTTTTATATTAGCATCGAAAATAAAATAAAATGTTAACTTCTTTTTTTTTGAGTTGCAGTCTCACTCCGTTGCTGAGATTGGAGTGCAGTGGCACGCATACTCCAGCCACTGCAGTGTAGACTGGCTAGGCTCAGGTGATCCGGCCACCTCAGCCTTTCAAGTAGTCAGAATTACAGGTGTGTGCTACCACGCCTGGCTAATTTTTTGATTTATTGTAGGGATGAGGTCTCACCAAGTTGCCCAGGCTGTTCTAACTTCTTATATCAAATAAATCACCCTCCCAGAAAAGAACATCAGTCTAGGCCAGGGTGGCCCTCTGGCTACAGTCAGGGAGATGAGCACTTGAGTGCCATGTTCCTATCACTTGAAGGTACAGGGGACGTGATGACTGTGTCCCTTAGAACCTTCTGTTGAGGAGCTCTTAACCTAGTACTTATGAGCCTTATTCACGGTTCTAATCTTTCCAAAATGAATTATGGTGAAGTTTCTTAGATACTTTTTAGCTATATACCTTTTCCCCCACTTGCTTAGTGTTGATTTTAAATATTCAGTAGGCTAGGTGCGGTGGATCATGCTTGTAATCCCAGTACTTTGGGAGGCCAAGGTGAGAGGATTGCCTGAGCCCACGGGTTTGAAACCAGCTTGGGCAACCTGGCAAGACCTCATCTCTACAATAAATCAAAAAATTAGCCGGGTATGGTGGCATGTGCCTGTAGTTTCAGCTACTTGGTAGGCTGAGGTGGAAGGATCACCTGAGCCCAGCAGGTCAAGGCTGTGGTGGCCCTGAGCATGCCACTGCACTCTAACCTGGCTGACAGAATGAGACTCCAACTCAAATAAATAAATAATTCAATAAAAATGACATCCTACCTACACTTTTAAAAATCTACATTCTCAATAGCAGAATAGTCAGCTGCCCATAAACAATAAGGCATTGAATTTTTTATTTAGCAAATCGGTGTACAATAAAACATCTTATAACTGGAAAGAATTTTCTGAGAAGTAATCACCAATAAGATAAGCCTTCCTCAGAGAACCAAATAAAAAGCACAATCCCATTCACAATAGTCACACACACAAAAAATGAAAAACCTCGGCATCTTCCTAACCAGAGAAGTGAAAGACCTTTACAATGAAAACTACAAAACACTGCTCAAATAAATCTAAGACGACACAAACAAATGGAAAAATATTCCATGCTCATGGATAGGAAGACTCAACATAGTTAAGATGTCCATCCTACCCAAGGCTATCTACAGATTCATCACAATACTCATTAAATTTCAACATCATTTTTCTCAGACCTGGAAATGGCAATTCAGAAATTCATATGGAAACATAAATGACCATTAATAGCCAAAACAATCCTTAGCAAAATAAATAAAGCAGGAAGTATCACACTTCCAGATTTTAAACTTTACTATAAGGCTACAATAATCAAAACAGCCTGGTATTGGTACAAAAACAGGTATATGGACCAATGGAACAGGATAGAGATTCTGGAAGCAAAACCTCAATTTCTCAACCAGTTTGTCTTCAACAAAGCCTCCACCACGGGGGAGAGGAGAACCTAGTCAGTAAATGGTGCTGGGAAAACTGGCTGACCACATACAGAAGATTGAAGCAGGACCTCTAGCTATCACCATACACAAAAATCAACTCTAAATGGATCAAAAACCTAAACATAAAACCTCAAACTATAAGAATCTTAGAAAATGTAGAAGATACCCTCACAGACATCGGAGCAGGCAACTCATTCCTGATCAAAACCCAGATGTCCATACCATAAGAGACAAGATAGACAAGCGGGACTTCATCAAGCTAACAAGCTTCTGCAAAGCAAAAGAAACCATCACGAGAGCAAGGAGACAGCCCACAAAATGGGAAAAAATATTTCCCAACTGGGTATCTGACAGAAGCCTAACATCCAGGGTCTACAAGGAACTCAAACGTGCTGAAAGGAAAAAAACAAACAGCCCCATTAAAAAGTGGGCAAGAAGCTGGGCTCGATGGCTCAGCCTGTAATCCCGTGCCTTTCGGAGGCTGAGGTGAGCGAATTGCCTGAGCCCGCGGGTTCGAGACCCGCCTGGGCAGCAAGACCTCATCTCTACAATAAATCAAAAAATCAGCCGGGCATGGTAGCACATGCCTGTAATTCCGGCTACTCGGAAGGCTGAGGCGGAAGGATCGCCGGAGCCCAGCAGGTCGAGTCTGCGGTGGCCGGGAGCGGCCACTGCACTCCAGTCTGGGCGACAGAGTGAGACTCCAACTCAAAAAAAAAAAAAAAAAAAGTTTAAAAAGTGGGCAAGAGACATGAATAGACACTTCTCAAAAGAAGATATGCGGGCAGCCAACAGACACATGAAAAAGTGCTCAGCCTCACTCACGATCAGAGAAATGCAAATCAAAACCACACTGAGATACCACCTAACCCCAGTAAGAATGGCCATCATTAATAAAACAAACAACAACAGATGCTGGTGAGGATGCGGAGAAAAGGGAATGCTTCTGCACTGCTGGTGGGAATGCAAACTGGTTCAACTTCTATGGAAAATAGTGTGGCGATTTCTAAAAGAACTAGAAAATTGACCTTCCATATGACCCAACAATTCCCCTATTGGGAATATACCCAGAGGAACTCAAATCGTTCTACAAAAAAGATAGCTGTGCACTGTAGCACTATTCACAATAGCAAAAACATGGAACCAATTGTACTGCCCATCAAAACTGGACTAGATTAAAAAATGTGGTACATATACACAATGGGACATTATGCAGCCATAAAGGACAAACATATGGACTCTGCAGCAACTTGGATGGATTTTGAGTCTATAATGCTCAGTGATCTATCACAGAAACAAAGAACAGAGTACCACATGTTCTCACTCATAAGCAGACCCTGAACATTTACCATAATACTATAAGAAAGGGATTGGCAGTAGTGGCATACTGCCAGGGGAGGGTGGGGGGGACACAATATCAATAAAGGTACCTGATCTCAAACCAGGAGAAGTGGGGACCAAAGGGAGGCCCAAACTTTACCTGTACCATGTATATGTACTTGTATATGTAATCCTGAATTGTACTCCGTGTCTTTAAATATATATATATTTTAAAGTAGGCCTTCCTGTATGGCAACTTGATCATTTGCTATCACCAAGATATTAGGTACATTATTCTTTTTACCAAAAGTGCCCAAACAAAGAAAGGGATGAACGTGAAATGGAGAAATGTCACACAGGAATGGAGGACTGGAAGCCTTGTTTATGCCTTCACTTCCATTTTCCAATTTTGACATATTACAAAAATAATTGTTAACTAGCAACACTAGACATAAGTATATGTACACACATGTAATCTTTGTCTATTACTAGGTCTCAAGTAATAACAGTCCCAATATTTCAGTTCATTTGATTAATAATAGTGCTAAATTCTAACTTTTGTTAACCCTCTGTTACTCCTCAATACAGTCGCTTATAAACATCTAGCCATATTTCTATTTGTTTTGAAATGTTCCTTTTCCTACAACATAGCTCACATAATATTATGCTGAGTCATCAAACGTTTGCAGAGTATGCCAACGGTTTTAACAGTGTACACCATAGATACTGCAACATTATATACCATATTTCCACTGGTTTCCCTGAACCATCTCTTATGAGCCCCGTTCTAAGAAACAAGCCATGATTAGAGATGAGGTCATGGTGAGTATAGGTAAAACAAAGTCATAACGTCTTAATGGAATAATTCTGCCCTCTCCAAAAACACTTTTACTTTTTATATGATTCATGTTTCAGAACTTTTAAGTAAAATTGTAGAAAGTAGAAATGAGTGACCAAAATATATTCTGTCACTTTAATCCACTTCTAAGAAAATTTACTGCACTTTTAACTTTGATTTAGAACTCAAGCAAAAAGCAAGTAGGTGTTAACATACCTATCATAGCCCAGAGGTTGAGGAGAATGACCAGTGAATTTGGGATTGCTTCTAGAAATTGAATTCCCTGGTGATACATTATTTATGCGCTGTAATATACAAGCAGTTATTTGTTAGTTCATGTAAACATTCTACACATATACCCATACACATCTATTCTTTTAACTGTAGCACCCTATTTAACTTTTAATGTAACTAAAAATTTAGTACACTACATAGCAAATGTGGGCATGAAATCAAGAGAAAAACTGCAATAAAAATAACTTGCTATAGTACTTTCTCTTCTTCATCACATATTAAGTCCAAATCCTACTGCACATTCCATAAAGGAGTACTCTGAATCCCCAGATTTGCCAGGACCATGCAATACCAACTTCCTTATCTCTTCTTGAACCATAATTTGGCTTAGTAATGGACTCGTCCATATCCAGATCTAGCACTGGAATCTTACAGTTGGAGCCAACCTCCAAAAGTGGGTAAGAAGCTTTATGATAAATGCAATCTGGGAGCAGTCCTCAAAATTCCAAATGGGCTTAGCTTGTTTCCACAGGAGGGTTTGAAATCCAAGACCCTCATTGTGCTAATTACACTAGCATAAAGTATACACACATAACTAAACTCACTCCTCAGCCACAAGTACTCTCTGCCTTCTCTCAACTGGGCAGTATTTTATTTTTACCCGTGGGATTTTCTACTTTTTCTTATATTATGCTATCTATCTGTGCATATCTTAGCTTCATACTACATTATAAACTCTTCCAGGCCAAAGATCACATCTTACATACCTTTCTCTAGTTCCCTAGGACATCTAACTAAAGAATTGGTTGACATCAAGACATTCATTTCTGCAGAGGGATAGTATATATTTTTTTAATTTGAAAAAATGTTGCCTCCTCTTATTTTATGGAAAGAGCTTCTCATTATTATGAAGACCTACATGAAGTTCTTCTCTAAGAAATTACATGATTTTCAAAGCTTTTAAAATACTCTACCACTAGAAAGAATGAAATATATTAGAATATTATGTGGCATACCAAGGATCGGTTGAGCTTGCTATAACTATTTTCGAGGGCACTCCTCAGGCCATCATTACTGTCATGCAGTTTCCGGTTAGCTGTTCTGCAGAGTAAATAAACAAACAGATAAAGAGATGGACAATAAAAGTATTAGTGGGGGTCAATGTTACCACTCTCCCATTCAGGCTGTAATTATTCAGAATGTGAAATACCTTATCACCATCTACAACATTCCACCACTTCCCTTCCAACCTCATAGACTGAGATCATTATTCATTACTCAAAGTACCACACCTTCATTGATTTGTTATCTCTCTTTAAAGGCCTCAGGGCCTTCTAGGGATGAATTATCTATGCTGTGAGACTCAGTCTTCCCTCAGGTAGCTCCACTGTGTGAACAGGTTTAATGCAGGTCTTGGTTCCCTAAATGCCTGAACTGGCTGGCCAGTTCCCACAGTCCAGCAGCCAGGCATGGAGGCAACATGTTATATGAGGCTTCTTGTTCCTGCTGCTCCTGCATTCTACTCGTGGCCTGGTGCCATCCTACCAGGCACTGCCAGGCCCAGTAAACACTGGGTTAGCGACCTCAGTCAGGTCTGGGTTCAAATTCCAACTCTTATTTCCGTGTGACTTAACAGAAGTCATTTAAGCTTTCGGAGCCTCAGTGCCCCCTTGAAGAAAATGAGGATGATTTCAAAAGCCCTACTTCACACTGTAGCTAATCTTCCTCTCCTTAAGGTCAGTTCACCCTTTCTGTCTCAGCACACTCCTCACTTCCTCCAGGACACTTTCTTGACCTCATTGGATAGGGCAAAGTTCCCACTAGGAGACTGGTACCTTTTCTTTGCCACACTGCTCTCATTTGACATTTTATATGTATTTCTATAATTATTGGCCAGCTTCTGTCTTCTTCCCCTAGACTAGCTCCACAAAGAGATTTTTTTTCCTACTTGCCTCTCTATCCTCGGCTCCTGGCATACCTGACCCATAAAAGTTGCCACCTAAGAATCTGTTGAATGAATGAATGAACGAACTTAAAGGATGATTGTAATAAATGAACTCCATAATTGACATAGATGAGACTTAAAAAGCGTTCAAAAATGGTGGAAAAAAACCAAAACAAAACTGATCACGCCTGACCTGACTTCAGATGGGAGAACTGAAGCCAGAGGCAAACACTGCATAGGTAGAAAAGAGAAGAAAGAAGAGGAAGTCTTGTGGGAAAGGTCCGCAGAGGATGCAACTTAGTTGTGAAGCTGACAGGGCAGACATTATATTTCCACTTGCAGCGAGAAAAGCAATCTAGGAAAAAAAAAAAAAAGATCTCTAGGCAAGCACAATAAACTGAGAAAGAATGGGTGTGTAGCAGAGTCCTGCAGCCCTTACCAGTGTGAGAAGCTTGACAAATTTTTTGTCCAGAGCTCAGAGCAAACCGAGCGGTCAGGGGTCTTCTTCACAGAGGCATAACAAAGACACGCTGGACATATCTCTTGACTTGCAAGGGCTTTTAGAGAATTATATTCTATTCCCCACATTTGAATAATTTATTTAGGATTAGAAGCATCAGAAAGCCAAGCGGATATGCTGAGAGCACTGCCGTGAGAAGAAACATACACGGACCTGTGAAGCTGGTCTTTAGAATACGGCACCTCGTATTAGATATGGCATGTGTTTTATTAACAAAAAATAAGTAAAATGCAAATGTAATGAGCATTTGATTTGAGAACTTACTGGAGTATTTCAATTTGCCTCTCAAGACTATTTCGATCTTCTGTGTATTCTCGGATTATTTCCAGATCCCTGAAAAATTATATTTTATGTTTGAATAAGAATTAGGTGTCAAGTCCTGCGTTGCCTACACTCACCCTCCCAGACCCTCTCCTCTGGCACCTTTTTCAAAAGCGAGTGTCCTTGGTTATGGTTTTTTCTCTTTCTCATGCTCCTGCTCTGTGCCTCTGTGGCCTCAGCAGCCTCCTCTCCTTCCAGCAGACTCCATTAACAACACATCCACACCCCGTGATTCCTTGTACAAGGCTCTGTCCCATCTGACACCATAAACCTAGAACTTCTCCTCCTCAACCACAATGTGGTACCCACCAGCTCTTCCCTCCCCTCCCCTGCTGACCTGGTTCTATCCTCCTTGGGGACTAAACCACAGAGATACCTACAGACTGGGCTTGGTGGGGTCACTAGCAACTCATCTCTCCTTTGCTTTAGGAAGCCCTGGCCAGCTCCTCAAACTTGCTCTCAAAATACTGGCACCCGCTTCTAGCTCCTGATCCCCCTTGGCACACCAACCCCAATCACTAGCTTCCAAAAGCTCTCAGGCTATCAAGTTGTATCCACAATAACCTGCCCACTTACACAATAACCTATCCACAAAGCTATATGTTTCCCCATTGTCTACAGGGATTTAAGCTTCTTGGCCAAAAATTCTGAGCCCCTATAATATAGCCTTAAACTAGCTTGTAAACTTTTTCATGTTTTCTTTTTTTCCCTAATTTTTCCTTTTCCCTTCACAGTATCTCTTTCTGTCTAGTGGTCTGACTTCCTTTCCCCAAGCCAGATCCTTCCTTATTTTCCTGCCCTTGCTTTGGTTATTGTGTAATCTGGAACATCTCGGAGACTCTCTTTTCCTATCTGTAAAACGGAGATGATGAAAGTCCCTCCCGCGTAGGATGTTCTGTGGACTGGATGAGTTGATATTAGCACATACTAGAATAGTGCTGGCAGGTGGCAGTGCCACCAGCTCTGAGTTGTTGATGTCACCGTCCCTGCTGTCCCTTTCCCCTTTGCCAGCACAAGCCTGCCCGTCCACCTAAGCTTGCCGGAAGTATCTCCTCTTGAACCCAGCTCTTTACTTCTTCTGAACTAAAGTAAGATGCTTTTTGTTACCACACAGCAATGAACCCAAACCATGACTCTGCTGGTAGAACTGTTCCTGCCACTGCTTAGCTCCTATGTGGTTTAACTCAGTAAACATTTTGCTTTTTTTTTTTTCCAACTAAGTTTGAAGTTCTCCAAGAGCAGAGGGCACACCCTTTCTTTTTTATATACTGTACAAGCTAAATCCCTTACCTAGCTCGGGGACTAGACAAAGACTGCATAGTAAGTATTTAACACATGCCTCACTGTTTTCCATTACAAGAGTTTCATTCTGATTAAAGTTTGCAAACAAACAAAAAAACAAATAATTTTCTCAAGCACACTTGTCCTAGAAGGTACACAATATATACACACACCTATGCATTTTATATTTACATTTCCCTATACAAATATCCATATGTGGATCCCTCATATACAAATGCATGCCTGTGAGTATATGTATTAGGTCTTATGTTTGGCGTCATACTGCAAAACTAAGGCTTAGAAAAAAGTAGACCAGGAGGTCTACTTTTCCCTTTCTTGTGTTCTATGGCTAGGATTCCTACATACAAAGTACTTTAATAAGCATTGACTCTCAATACTTTAGGTATATTCTTATCCCAGTTAATGCAAACATTTAAGCCCTGTACTAGCCGAAGCAGCCAATAATTACACAAATTAATCTATTTACTGAAAAATATTAAAAACATACACAAAAAAACTAGGAAATCTGACACCAAGTAAAATCATCAGAAAGGAAAAAAACATACTACCAAAGTTAATAACTTACTCTTTATTATTACATAGCTGCTGGATGGTCATCTACATAAACATTCTACTCAAAGGAAAAAATAAAATGCAAAGTTTCATACCTTTCAGAATTCAGACTCTGGTCAGCATAATCACTTTTCAAAGCATCTAATTCACTCTGTAGAAAGGCTATGTTTGTCTGTGCTTCTAAAAGATCTTTCTTAACTTTCTGATTTTCCTGATAAAAGGAATAGTGCAGGTCATTAGATTCAGAGTTTCTTCTGCCTGTAAGCAATGAGTGGAGTATGTGTAACCCTCCCACATGCCTTTCTCACCCTTCCACGAGTCAAAGAACTAATTGCCAGTTCAAGGTAATTTGAAAATATTTCAAATGATTAAAGTGTCAAAAATCTAGATCCACAAAGTTGTTCTTTTTTTTAATATTTGACTTTTGGTATCAAACTATAACAGTCAAGAGTTCAGCGTGATGTACTTTAACATGTTATTGGCAAATTAACTGACACCACCAAACGTTTGAACACCTGCTTTACTGATTAAGCACTATAAAACTACTGATAAGCATTCTGCAGAATTAATAGTACCTATTAACAAGTACACTGGCTACTTTTTATAAATCCTATCACTTAAACTTTTATGTTTTGGACTTAAAAATAAAACGGTGTGATTAGGAAATTTATTTTTCTTAAAAAAAAAAACAAAAAAAACTGGAGGCTCCCATTCAAGATGGTTAACTGAGTACTTGAATTTGTCTTTTTTCATTCTGAAACCCCATTAAGAGGAAATAGCAAAGGAAATGAACCGATAACAGTTACTAGACTGGAAGAGGGGCCTGTGATCATTTAAGTGACATAAATACTTTTCTGGAAAAATGGAAACTGGATGAAAATGTGCTGTCAAAGGAACAGAGTGGAGGGTAGGGGAGAGAATCTAGGAGAAGTGTGTTAAAGGTTCTGATGTAGAACCCAGAAGGAGACAAGTGGTCAGGCCAAACCCCAGAAAAAAGGAACAAGATGTGGAGCCGGAAATAGAGATTAAAATAGTATATGAAGGGATCCCTCCACAAGTCCCTTCCCTCTCTTACCCTCACAAAGAATAGCAGACAGCATTCAACCTCACTAATCATCAGGGAGATGCAAATCAAAACCACACTGAGATACCACCTAACTCCAGTCAGAATGGCAATTATCAATAACTCAAAAAATAACAGTTGCTGGAGAGGGTGTGGCAAAAAGGGAACACTTCTACACTGTTGGTGGGAGTGCAAACTAGTGCAACCTCTGTGGAAAACAGTATGACGATTCCTAAAAACTCTAAATATTGACCTCCCATATGACCCCGCAATCCCCCTACTGGGAATATATCCTGAAGAACTTAAATCACTCTATAAAAAAGATACCTGCACACGTATATTTATCGCAGCATTGTTCACAATAGGAAGAACCCGGAAGCAACCATGCTGTCCATCAAAAGAGGACTGGATGAAAAAAATGTGGTGCATATACACGATGGAATACTACACAGCCATAAAAATGAACAAAATCATGAATTTCACAGCAACCTGGATGGAACTAGAGTCTATAATACTGAGCGACCTCTCACAGAAACAAAGATCTGAGTATCATATGTTCTCACTCATACAGTAGACCTTGAACATCCAATGTAAATTAGAAAATGACTGACAGTGGTGGGAAACTATGGGGAGGGAGGGGAAGGGAGATGGGATTAATAGTAGTCAATACCTGTCTGGGGACGCGGAGACACCTCTTATCAACAAGGGTGCCTGAACGAAGCATATTTGTATACCTAATCCTTAACGGTACCCCACAATATCATAATAAAAATTATTGATTAAAAAAATGTTTAAAAGAAAAAAAAAATAGCAGACAGCCAGAGGACACTTTAAAGACAACAAGACCGAGACTGTCTTTTCAAAGCTGAGTGATTCCACATACTCAGTGATCTATCACAGCAGCAAAGACATGAGTACCACATGTTCACACTCATAAGCAGACCCTAAACAATTATGATAATACTTAAGTAATTAATATCCTAATTAATTATCATAATAAGAAAGGGATTGGCAGTTGTGGCAAACCTCCAGGGAGGGGGTCAGGGCACACTTCATCAATAAAGGTACCTGATTTCAAACCAGGTGAGCTGGGGACCAAAGTGAGGCCCAAACTTGACCTGTACAATGACCATTTGTATACCTAACCCTGAATTGTATCCATCTTTAAAATAAAAAAGTTTAAAAAATAAAAACTGAGTTATTCCTATAAGGAAAGCTAGTGATTTCCTGTGTATGTCTCTGTCCCACTCATTGTAATGATTAGGGTCCCTTAGTCCAACAGTCATCTTCACACACAGAGCTCCCAGGAAGACAAAGTAGCACTGAACTCCTGAAGTGACCAAGAGAATCCTTCATTTTAAAATACGAACAAATCTCCAAGGATTTCCAGGTATTTGAAAAAGGGGAGGAGCACCTAGAAAGGCAAAAAAAAAAAAAAAAAAATTTCCAGAGGATTCCCAGAAAAGTCTATTCATTTAGACAAGCAATAAAGTTTGAAAGGAATGGAGGCCTACTCAAATATTCAAAAACTGAGAAAATGTATCTCCCACATTCTTTTTCTGAAGAAGTTCCTTGAGGACGTACTACAGCAAAATGAAGATAACTCCAAAGAGGAAAACTAATATGCAAAATGCTGCAATTCAGTGAAGGACCTAATTTTAAAATATTCCAAAATGGCATATGGATAGCAAGTATAAAAAACAATCAATCAGTCTAATTGCTTTTGAATTGGAGCCCAAATTCAAAAAGGTGAAAAATTAAGCAATTCTATGCATTGGGAAGAATAAATAAGATATCAGTAATATTATAAAGATGGTAATATTTCTTTTTACAACAAGAAACCAAACTCTCAACCAGAAAATCCAAGAAAAGCAGGCAGCTCTACAAGAAAGTAATGATCGAAACATAAAGCCAACTAAGATGTACAATTTGGGAATGGTGGTGCATAAAGGGAATTTTTTTGAAGCTGGGAATCTTCTATTTTCAGTGAAGCAGAGACAATGACTAGAGAGAAAAAAAATGTAACGCTTGCTCATTTCTTGGCTCTGCAGTGGAAATATTTAGAATTATAATAAACAAACTGTTCTTTATTTGCTTTCAAATTTGGGGGTTAACCTAAAATCAAAATAAAGAAAACACAATAAGAGAACACACATAAATATGATTAATTTTATCAAGAGAAAAAATAAAGACATGGTCAGTGGAAGATGGAAAAGATTCAGAAAGAAAACTTGGAAGAAAATCAAGGCATTAATATCCTCATCACAAAGCCAGGGATACATCCCAGAGTTGAAGCTGGAAGAACACAGGGTAAATTATTTTATATAAGGTCTTCAGGTGATAGCTTTACTACTTTGAATAAAAAATAAATCAAATCTTTCACAATAAGTGGCATATCATTGAGGGGAAAAGTCCTGCATAAAAATCACAATGGCTCAAAGGTATTTCAGGTAATTCCAACTATAGTATTAATGGATTTTTAAGCTGCTATTCCTTGAACACTAAAATGACAGTATGATTATGTAGTTTAACAGGGAGTGCATTTCTGTAAGTGAAAAGATAATTCTTACCATTGATAAATCATAAATTTGTTTTTTCAATGCAGCTACATCTTCCTTTTGACTTATGTGTTTTGATTGTTCTTCGAGCTGAAAGAGCAAATAAAAGTTGTGTGCTTCCATACTCACATTAAACTGCTTTGGTTAACTTTAGAATTATCCTTAAATATACACACGAATTCTAGAAGTCATCAGCTTTCCACATTATACAAACTTATAAATCATTAAACTGTATAAAATTCCCAAAATATTTGAAAATTCGTTCTAAATAATTTAAACATTTGAAAGAGGTTTTGTTGTTAGATTCCTTTTCTTGGAAAAAATTGAAAAGCCCTTTTTGGAAACCATTCAATTATTAAACAACCTAATTATTGCTTTTTTCAGTTATGTTGCATATGAGTCTGGACCTTTAGATTTTTAAATTTTATTTTAATACTTTCTATCCTGTATTATAATTCTTAAGAAATGTCTTACCTTCCCTCCTAAAACGTAAGATTTTTTTTTTAAGGGCAAAGTTAGTGTCAGATTCTCCTATGTTTTCTTTACAGTGAGTTCAAGAAATGCTTATTAAATAACTAAAATCAATAAAATCTATTGCGTAGATACATACGTAAGCTTTGCTTGGTGGTTGAATCATTACTATTAACTACCACATTAAATTAGTTCAAGAGCATCTATAATGTGAAGAACAACAACGTCTTTCCTGCAGATAGCTTACATCTCCTAGGAACTGGGGATTTGTGGGTGTCCATTAACAGAGTGTTTATACATTGATCAAAACGGATCCCACATATCACCCTCTAAATACTCTGCCTCTGGGACTTCCTCATCTTGCCAGACGAAGATCAAGTGAAGATTTTTACACAACTGTCATGATGTCACATGGCTGACCGTGACTGAGAGGAGCCACTGGTTTTGAGATGCATTCTGACTCAGAGAAGAAAAATTGTGGGGGAAGGAATGAGTTTCTCAGAATCAGTGACATAAATTAATGGCAACTGTAATATAGGTGCATGTTTTTCTATAGCTCTTTACAACCCTGAAGATAAATTTCTCACTGTTTTGCATAACAATCACATCAGGCAGGTAGGAAGTCTGGCATATCTGAGAAAACACAAACTGTGCAGCAAGACGAATCCATCAGTTGTTAGCTGTGTGACCTTGAACAAGACATTTAACCTCTCTGGAACTCAGTCCTCACCTGTAAAAGTAGAATAATTATACTTTTCTCAGAGAATGTCTGAGAATTCAATTTTTTTAATTATGAAAAAGAGCTTAATAAACTGTAAAGTCAATAAAGTATCAGTTATTATGATTAGGCAGGACAGTTCATTATTAATCCCATTTTACAGATGAGAAACTAAGGACCAGAAAGATGAAGCAAACTGTCCCAGGTGTTACAGGGAGAAGCAGGTAGAGTGCAACAAGGACTCAGGTGTCCTCACTCCTAACTTATGGACTCTCTTACTGCCATTTGGTCTTCACCATATACTCCATCAGGGAAAGAAACTCCACCTCTTCTTGCAGACATTCTTTAAGTCTAAAGATTTGGAAAGTCACAGTGACTGGGAGATTAACAGGAGATTGGTCCCTTCAATTATGTCATACAAGCATAGTATGTATGGTCTAATAACTTTTGAAAATCAGATATAAGGTTGAAATTGATGACCATTTTCTCAGAAGGCTATCAGGGAGAATACTTCATCCCAGAGGTTTAAATTACAACAATCTACAAAATACAGTAGGTTGTCATTTAATCGCATTGCCACTTTCAGGGATGATTACTTTTAATTATTCGTTTTCATTTTAGCTAAGGTATGTCCATTCGTTATGGGAAAAATCCTCATGCAAGGAGTGAGTCTGATATTGTGCCACAGCCGGCTTGTCTCAGCAGGTGAGAATCTATTTTAAGCATCCCTTCCCAACTCTGAATTTAGTGATATAACTTGATATCTTAAAATCATAATGATGGGAATATTTATACCATGGAAATCGGCAAATACTACGAATCCTTCCCTTCCCCTTCTCCCCGCTCCAGAGTCACCTGTTAAACATCAGCCACACATCACTGAGTGAAAGGGACTCTGCTCATTAGAAACCGAGTAGAGCAAAAGCCAAAACATAATCACATCAAAGAGAAGAAAAAAATCACACCTTTGCTCATACTTTGACAAATTCTTTCTTGCCTCTTGCTGATAAGGCACCCCCTAAATCTGGAACTTTATACGTGGAAGAGTAATATTCACTTCAGTTAGTAAATATTCACCACATACCAGCCACACACCTTGTATAATCCAGGGATAGGGACATAGGGATGCGTGACCAAGAAGGGAGGTCACGGAGCACACAGTCCACTGAACACCAGAGACTGGAGGAAAATTAGTGGGTGAAGACCAAGGAAAGCAAACCAAGTTTTGATGAACAACTGTTCAAGGGATCAGATATATTTATTAGATCTGTGTAAAAGACAGGTGGCCCCTAGAAACAGGAGAGGAACTCAGGAGCCCTTAAAAAGTCTTTCAAGAAGTCATTTAACTGTGAAATCCAATTTTATCAATGCAATACAATTCCACATGTTTTTTAGTTGTTAACAGCTTAGACACAGTGAGACACCGAGGCTGTTCCCAAAAGTCTAACTGCCACATACCTACCTTTCTGAGTTTTTTAATGGTCACTTGCAGATCTCCCACTTCGGTTTCATATTGACGTCTGAGGTCACTGAGAGCTTCCTCAGCTTTGCGTTTTTCCTAAAACAGACAGAGACAGAGAGATATTTTGCTCATTTGCATAGGTTCCGACTCTTAAAATAAACCACCCTCAAAAACCACACAGGTGAAAAACACCTTGTGTCAAACTAAGGCTGACACAACATTCCCCTACACAGGGAGGGTAAGAAAAGATGGCAGAAGGAAAACAAACGACGTAAGATGTAGAGTAGTTCCAGAATTGAAACCCATGAAAGTGAAACAACCCCACAACCTACATACACACTCACTTGGGAGTGACCTTAAAACCGTTACTCTCTTTGTGATAGATGTTGCAGCACATCAACTAGTTAATTAACTATAATTGCTATAATTAAAATATAGGGCACAGTGAAGGGCTCTGGGGCTTGCCTGAATCCTATTATGTCATCAGGGCTCAGGAAGGCATCCTTGGTGCACCCATTTTCCTACAGTATGTGCCTTAATTGCATCCAAAGTGCATTACTGCAAATTTCAACACAAAGTGCTTCCCCTGCATGCTGGTCCTTCGCAAAGGTATCCCTTTATGTTCACCTGGAGCAGAGAATGGCAAGCAGGTGCCCCAGGAGGTCAGGGGATTGCCATTCAGAAGCTTCCCTGGGCTGAAACATCACCAAATTCCCTTTTCTCTTGGTAAATTATATGATTTTATAACCTATGTTCAGTATTCAAATAGTTTTATATTGATAGTTAGTGAAAGTCAGTGTACAGATACTCACTGTCAGCCTACCATATGGTTCTAGGCCCTGGGGACACGGGGACAGAGCCAGGGACAATGCACACTGATGCTCACAGCATTCCAGTGGGGAAGACAGGAAACAAAGAGGATTCCAGGAAGTGAATTAAAGAAGTAAACACAAGGAGATGTGAGGGGCAGCCAGTGTGATGGATGTAAGGAAGGGTCTCTACAGAGGTAGCATGTTCCCATATCTGATACCTGCCAGTTTTTAAGGGTCATACTGTCCACTTACTGGCTGTGGAGTCTGAGAAAGTTGCTTAACTTCTTTGAGCCTCCACTTTTTTCTTATTAGATTTTTAGGCGTTAAATTAAATAATCCATGTAAATTAAATAACCCAGATAAATGAATTAGTCCATACAAGTTAAAATATCCAAGTAAATTAAATACTCCATGAAAATTAAATAGGTGGGGGGCAAGATGGTGACGGCATAGGTGAACTTGTGAGATTCTCTGAACGTGAGTTCCCAAAAAGGCTATCACTTCGCTACCCCCAGCCCCCAGCCCACCACCAACCGCGCTGGGGGCAGGCCCGGGAACTTCAGTCCCACGCAAGGCCAGATATTGCGCCCCCGCCCCACTGCTGCCGTTCTACTCGTGTGTGGAAGTCTCCGGTCCCAGCCCCCTCCAGATCCCTCCCCGGCTGCATTGTCTCCAGCCCGGGCACCCGGCATCAAGCCGCCGGTCACACAGGGAGGCTGTGGGCACCCGCCCCTCAGAGACGCTGGTTCCATTTCTGGCTGAAGTCCTCTGTTGGGTCCCAGTGCCACTCTCGCTGTCTAGAGCCTGCCCTTTGGAACTTTGGAGCTCTGGAACTCCGGGTCCACCCTGGCTGAGGCACTCAGCGT